CCCCAAAACCCCAAAACCCCAAAACCCCAAAACCCCAGAGAGTCAAAATATTAGCCAATTGAAATAAAACACTCTCAAACCTAATATAATTTGAATTAAGTTAAAATTAAATAATCATTAAATATGAGATCAAATAGCAAATTACTTTTACTAATAGCTTTGGGATTAGTAGCTTATCTTGTTCAGGCTGGAAGAGATTTCTATTCAATATTGCAAATCAAGAAAAATGCCAGTCCCTCGGATATTAAGAAAGCCTACAGAAAGTTATCGCTAATCAACCACCCAGATAAAAATCCAGACGATCCTTCAGCATTAAATAGATTCTAAGATATTGCTAGTGGTAATATTCACTATTCTCATTATTGATTTTATTTAGCTTATGAAGTTCTCTCTGATCCTGATAAGAGAAGAAAGTATGACAATTGTGGAGAGGAATGTGTAAACTAGCCTGAGAATCAAGGAGGTGGAATGAATCCATTTGAAGACATTTTTGGAGATATTTTTGGAGATATGAGGTAAGATGAAATTTCTAGAATCTCAACACGTGTTGCTTAACTTTTATTTTAGGGGTGGAGGTAGAAGATAATAATAAGAATAGACTGGACCATCAGCTAAACTAAAAATTAGAATCACTTTAGAGGATGTCTATAATGGCAAGGAATACCCAGTAAGAATACCTAAAGAGTGCAGAATTGCTCATTGATTTTCATATAGATTACTTATAATAGAATGGTACTTTGTCCACATTGTAGAGGCAGTGGAGCTGATAACCCAGAGGACGTTGAAATCTGCTCTCAATGTAATGGAAACGGTCAGGTCACCGAGCAAAGAAGACTAGGGCCAGGATTCGTTCAGCAATTCTAGAGAACTTGCCCTAAGTGTAATGGAGACGGTAAAAAGCTAAAGTCAAAGTGTCATGTATGTCATGGTGATAAGCAAGTCAAGAGTGTTGATGAGTTATCCATCTTCATCGAGAAAGGTATCCCTGATGGTCACGAATTCAAATACAGAGATGCTGCTGATGAGTATGTTAACGTTAGAGCAGGAGAAGTTACTGTTAAAGTTGAAACCCTTCCCCATAAGGTATTTGAGAGGGCTGGTAACGATTTAAAAACAACTGTTAAGATTACCTTGAAGCAAGCACTACTAGGTTTTGAGAAAGAATTCATACATCTAGACGGTAGATCAGTAATCATAAAGAGGACAAAAATCACCAAGCCTGGTGAGATTGAGAAGATCAGAGGTGAAGGTATGCCAGTGTATGAATACCCTACAGACAAAGGTGATTTGATTGTTACTTACTAGGTTGAAATGCCTCAAACTCTATCTAGAGAATAGAGAGACAGTAAGTTTATTGGTTTATTATAATATATAGTGTTCAAGATGGTTTTCTAATCATGAAGAGGGAAATTATGATCATTTAAACTTGCTTTGGAATGAAGATAGTAGTAATTCTTATTATAAATACATAAGATTTAAGTTAAATCAAGATCAAAATTAATACGATTCTGGGGTTTTGGGGTTTTGGGGTTTTGGGG